ATGAATACAAGTGATATATTGGCAGTATATTCTTGAAAAAGTTCAAATAGAAAATAACCACCCTAATAAAAGACATAGTTTATTTGATTTTTCTTTATATTATCAATACTTACAGGACAAGCAAATGGTAAACTGACAAGAAAAAAGACTATACAAGTTATAATAACAAGTAGCCATCGTTTTTTTGCATATCTTGGAAAGAATTCCATAAGTGCAGTAATTGTTACATCTGTAGAAGCAAACTAAATATACACAAATTTAAATTATAAATAAAAATATAAGATTAACTTACTTGAGTACCAAGCCCAAGAGCGAGAAGCATTGCAAAGAAGATAATAGCAAATATAGGACTAGCCGGCATTTTCGATAATGCTTCCGGATAAGTAATAAATGCTAAACCAGGTCCTGATGATTTAGCATATACATCGACATCTACGCCTAATGATCTAGCAAGAAATCCAATTGTAGCAAAAACGGCAAAACCAGCAAAAACACCAGTAAAACAATCACATGAAACCACAATACACATTTGCCTATTATTTAAATATAATAAAACGTTATAAATCAAAAAAAAAATTTATATTTACTTGTAAAAATTATTTTCGAATTTATTAGCTGCTGAATAAGCAATAAGTGAACCAAAACAGACACTTAGAGAAAAGAAAACTTGAGCTGCTGCTGCTTGCCATATCTAAAAGAAAATAATATATATCTTTTTAGTTAAATTCTTTTTTTCATTATATGTACCTTAAAATCACCGAGTAGCTCAACCCTTGGCTTAATATAATATAGTATACCGTCATCAGCTCCTTTGAGAGTAGCAGTAAAAATGATTAATATAAGAAGAACAATATATGGAAAGATAGCAGTAAAATAGGCAACCTATATTAATAAATAATAATAATAATAGTATTAAAATCATAAATTATTTACTTTGCCCGATGATTGAACACCACGAATAATACATAAACAAATGATTATCCAAGCTAAGAGCAATAATAGGGTCATATAAAGGCCTGGAGTGCCGAAATCATCGAAACTCGAACTTTTATTCAAAAGTAATCGACTATAAAAACATAATAAAAATATATAATGAGATTCTAAAAAACTTACTAAAAGAATTCTTCAGTAGCTGCTACTCTTCCAGTAGTATTGATTGCTTGACAAGCATAATCAGAGGCGTTTACATATTGTTCTGCTGTACAATTATATGTTGTTCCATTGTCACTAAAAAAGCTAGATTGATCACCAGGCTCAAAACATCGATCTGTATTCCAAAATTGACCACATTTAGACCATAAAAGTTTGGTACGAAACGAAAGAAAAAAGTAGAAGAGAGACCAAGCAATAAGAACATTGTAATAGATGGTACCTAATACACTATTGATGATCATAGCAATACCCACACCTAGAATAAAATAAGAATTAATAAGAATAAAGAAATTATTTTTATACATACCCTGCCATCCTCTGGCAAGAACGAATCCTGTACCAGGACCTCGACTAGTAAATTGTCCAAGAGCCAATTCCAGAAAATAAAGTGGAGCTCCAATTAGAAAATAAATAATGAAATAAGGAATAAGAAAAGCACCTAAAATATTTTGAGAAGTAAAAGAAAAAAAGAATGAATCGATTAAAACTAACCTCCACCATTTTGTGCTGCGAGATAAGGAAAACGCCAAACATTACCAAGACCAACTGAATTCGAAATAAGTGATAAGAGAAATTCAATAGGTCGATCCCATTGATGAGCATTTTCTTCCTAAGTAAAATTTCGATTAATAAATAATATCTTCACAAAAATTATCACTCACATCATCGTCAGGATTTACATTATCACCAACAATTTTATTCTCTGGATCATCAACAACAATAACTTTTGTTGGACGAAACTAAAATTAACAGTTATTACAAATGTTTTATCATTTCTTTTTTAATATGATGAACTTACTCTATTGATAATTTTATTGAACATAATTCCTCAACAATTGATAGATCGCGTTATTTTGCTACTGTCATACAAGGACAACAAAATAACTATGATATATAAGGGCACCTTTTATCGACAAACATTATGACGAGATGAAAAGAATAATGATATAATGCAAATAAGCCGTATCTAGAGTACAAGAGCAAGAGAGTATAAATATTATCTTTACGATGTTTCTCTTGCGCTTTTGCCGAGTCAGCAAAGTAAATTTCAGATGAATTGTTGCAGGTAGAAAGAATCGAAATTTCATTTGAAAATAGTTGCAAAATAAAAGAAAAGATAATGAGAAATTTTTCATTCAGAACAGAATATTACAGAATGACACTGCTTATATTTTTTTATTTAATAGATAATCTTATCTATCGAAATTAATTTTTACGTAATTTTCGCGATGATTCATCATTGTAGATATTTTAAAAAAGAATATTCTTTGGTAAGAAAATAATGATTATTAAAATGCTTTCATTCTTTCTTCATTTTATTTTATTCTTTGTCATTGTTTGACTAAGCTAGAGCGAAGAAAAAGATTAAAGCTAAAGAAAAAGGTTTATAGACATTGAAAATCATAATCCATATAACATATTTCACCTTTATAAATACTTATTCATTCTTTTATAATATGATAAGAAGAAAAATATAAGATCATATACAATTGTGATTCAAAAGATAGATTAGATATTTTTATGAATAAAGTCAACTGATACGAATTGTTTTGATCTGTAATGTCCTATGTCTTCAAAATCAGCGATTACTTAATGGATTTTTCTGATAAATACAGAAGATTATATTATTTAACATGAAAAAAATACATTATAGATTAAAAAAATCGGTAATCCCAATTTTGGCCGAAAATAAAAATGTCGAAAACCTTTTAAATATAAAAAATGAAATACTCGAAGAACGGCTGTTTCGTAGGCGTGAGTGTGGATGTCGATGAGGTTAACAGAAGATACACCCACACCAAAGATTTTTTTACAATATGATGTTAATTGTATATAATATATTTTAATATCTTACTAAAATACACCCATTTGATTCTAAAAAATATCCCTTATTCAATACCCTTCTGAGAGTTGCTTTCGTACATATATTCGAAATAGTTAAAAATTGAAAAACATTGATAAAGTTATATATGTGATCTGGAATTTAATATAGGAATTTCTATGAATTAAAATTAACAATAATAACAGCGTATATTTCAACACAAATCATTTTGCTTAATTCAAAATATAATTAATTTCTTGTAGACACTAACATAAATCCTGAACTTATGATGTGAAAGTTTTGATGCAATATGTTCATTCATTTTTTTGCGACATTGAAATAATAATTGATGATCAACAACTATATCAGCTAAAATAGAACTTTCAACTCTTGTTGAATATTTTTAATAAAAATTCGTTTTTTTTTCTTTTAACAAATCATTTATCTTTTTGTTTGAATTATGTTTATTGTGATAAAATATATTTTTTTAATGATAATTTTAATATAAACATTGAGATAATATATTTAGCTCTTAATTTGATCAAATTTTTACAGAAGTTGTCCATATATAAAAAGTTAAAATATGAACATAATAACTGATTCTTGCATTATGAATATTCATTTAGATCTTGATCAAAAATGTATAATAAAAATACTACCGAAATATTTCAATTACTCGAAATTAGATCCATTTCAGTTTGGTGTTTTTTAATATTTGATTGAATTGAATATATTTTTAGTTAATGTACGATCTATTGATTTTTTTCTTTAGGTGTTTTCTGTTGAATAATGTAAATAAATTTCTGAATTTATTTTTTGATAGATCCATATCTTTCTTTTTTATTTATTTATTGGAAAGAGGACCATATATTGCAAATAAAGGATTGAACAAATTAATATTACATCTTGTTATAAAATGAGAGCTTATATTGTTTTACTGAAAATAATTTTAAAAAATCTAATGTATATTAGTCAGTTTTGGTTTTCTTTCGTGTAATATACGTATATTTGTCTATTTATAAGATCCAACATAAATCAGCAATAAATAAAATAATTTTAAAGACATTTGGGTCATTATTTTATTTATTTACTGTTGACTTTTATTTGAAATGTTGTAGAATATTATCTTATAAACAGTCTATAATAAATAAAAATCTATATTTTAGTTTTAATTTGAAGAAATTATTCTATAGTTTGAGCAAGAAAAGAGATCTTCTCAGAAAAAGCTTTTAAATGAAAGATATTTATTATACCATAACATCATTTGAAATATGAAGTGGTTGATTAGAAATAAATTTCTCTGACAAAAAACAACGATTTGTATCATGCAAGAAGCTCAATTTTCGAATCACTGGAGCAGATAATTATTCTGTTTTACTTTTTCAATATCTAATTCAATCTATATTAAACTGGCAGTATTTAAATGTACTCTTTGCAAAAGTATCTTAATTCATATCGATTTTTGTGTTTATGAACTCAATATAGACCAATACAATTAATTAGAATTCTATTACGGTACTCCTAAAATTATACAGACATCTTTTCTAATTAGAATAATATGATGAATTGAAGGCATTTGCGAAATGAACAAGGACGAGAATATTGAATAAATTATATCAAATTTGATATGTTCTCTAAATACGGGCGGTAAACATATTTCATAACTACCAACTCTTTTATACTCGACATAATATATATCATATTTCTAATATTTTTGACAACCCGATAATAGTTTATAGGAAATGAGATACATAACATGCAGAATATCAAACCGCCCATATACAATTAAATAGTGAAACGACTCGTGTTTACTTAAGTCGGCCTATGCGCAATCCTTAACGAAAGATGAAAGATGAAAGTTGCTAATATCCATGAACAGTTTGAATATTTAAAAGAATAGCTCACCGTGAACTATCAGTGACTTTTTAACATAGAAGTCCATACGAACATGATTGAGTACTATTTTATTACATACTCGGATCAATAAATCTTCGGAATGGATATAGTAAAATGACAATAGATGGTACATAAACTATTAATAAAAATCTTTCGTCAAGTATGCGATATTGAGCAATATAACTTAATTCCACGTTTTCTTGTCAAGTAAGGAAAACTGAAACAATAAAAACATAGTCACAGCATTTGTTCCTACGATGATCTTTTTCCACACTGTGCATTGATGCACCAGATATATAGCATATTTGTTTCTAAAAATGAAATAAACAGAAAGACACACTCAATCGATAGGCTCAACTTCAAACTTTTCCAATGATTTCACGTCTAATATCACCGGTTATATGTTCCACCTTCATCTACGTGACATAATCCTTCAATCAGACCGAAGATCAGATGCACCTGCACTTCAGACACTCCTAACATGTCCCACATCCTAACAATGTCATATCTTCACTGCACTGTAACGTATATACTTCCTGTATGTCAAATTTTTACCATGTCTATAGCTCTACTTTCCTGTCTTCTTAATAAACAAGATTATAAGCCCCGCTAAAAAATATTGACTTTCCCATTACCTTAACCATTTCCGATCAGATTCTACACATCAGGCACCTCGCTTTGTGCTCCACACTTTTATTAAAATAATCAACATTAACTAACAACGTTATCCGCACATAAACAAGTAGGAGGATGAGGCCTTCTACGATTAAAAATACGATAACGATAAGGATAAGGAGGATTAGCAATAGCAGCAGCAGGATTAGCAATAGCAGCAGCAGGATTAGCAATAGCAGCAGCAGGACTAGCAATAGCAGCAGCAGCAGCAGCAGCATAAATACATGTTTTTTCATCACGAGCCGCGAATTGTTCCCAAATACCCTCATTCTGCCAACGCTGATGATCATCTGCTTTCCAATCTTTCCATTCCAGATTCTTTTGACCTTGGAGCCATTTCCATATTGCCGGATCACCAGTAAAGTACCAGTCACGACATTTACTACAACTCGCACAAGCACGCCCTTTACAAGGGAGCTCCGCATAGGTACCAGGAGTAGCGAATTGTTTTTCTAAATGAAAAAATAAGAGAGTTAATAGTTTCATGTCGATTTTGACAATTTTATTCTTTAGTTAGTATAATTGCTAATAATAATGGAAGGATGTATTAGAGAAATTTTGTCGACTTATTAAGCAGATCAATTAATGTAAAACTCATAAGTCAGAGAATTTTTCCGTCCTTATAAGAATATGAGCATGCCATGTTTACTTCAGACTCCTGTAAATATTTAGACCTATTATTCTTCAAACTAAATCACACAATGTAGGCACTGTGATAGAAACTCTTATCTAAAATTGGAGCAGTCTTATTAGACTTTTTGAAGAGATGATATTAAAGCTTCTTCTAGGAGTGTCACTTTAACTTTGCTTTAACAGTTAAAGTAATACACTTTAACTTTAAGTTTTAAAGTTAAAGTAAAAACACTTTCCACTTTAACTTTATTTTAAAGTTAAAGTATTTTAAAGTAATCTGATAACGGTCAAAAATAAATAAGGGAAACATTTTCAATACTTTACATATTTTTTTTAAAGTTGAAGTGTAGTGATTTTACTTTAACTTTAAAGTTTAAAGTTAAAATTCTAGCTTTAAACTTTAAGCACTTTAACTAATAAAGTTAAAGTTAAAGTGACACTCCTAGCTTCTTCGTCCGCAAAGATTTCTTAAACTATTTGTTCTAATTCTTAAGCTGGAAATATTCATATCCGACTGGTCCAATTATATCAATACTAGATTTAAATTTCCAATAGCAAGATGTTCATATTCATACTAGGGGTAGGACAGTTCCATATTAGTTCCATTCTCAGGAACTGTATTAACAGTTCTTTTGAATAGAACTGAACTGAACCAACAGTTCTTTGAATAGAACTGAACTGAACCAACAGTTCTTTGAATAGAACTGAACTGTACTAACAGTTCTTTGAATAGAACTGAACTGGTAGTTCTTTTGACCAGTTCATCCGAACTTGGAACTATGAACTGTCCTACCCCTAATTCATACTTGAAATCGTTTGCTCGAAAACTAGATATGAACTCAGATGGTGAACATCGTAAAGAAGCAGCGCATACGATAGAAAAACATAGTCAGTGCCCATCCCATTATCGAAAACTTCATCTTTTTTTTGTATATTATCATATGACTGATAATGGGCACTTTTTATTATGTTGACATCTTGAGGGTGTGGGTTGATGTGGGTGTTGTTCTTATCTAACCCTCACGCTCACATTCACGCGAGATCGGGTTCTGACTGAAACCTAGACTAATCGAGCCCGAGCCCTGATCGAGGCCGAGACTAGCCGAGTTCGAGCCCTGACTGAAACCGGGATCCGATCGGGATTGAGACTAACCGCGCCCGAGCCCTGACCGAGAGTCTCGACTTCGTCTCGGGCTAGGCACATCCCTAAGTAGCGGAAAGCTCCACAGAGGTCTCTGCTTAACAAAATTTAAATAATGAAACTATTCCGATATTTTTCAGATCACTTGCGTAGACCACAGTTTTGTAAAAACATTTCAGTAAATCTCATCAAATATTTGCCTGAATAATTAATTAAATTTTATTCCTCAGAAAGCAATCGATTGTAACAATTATTGATCGAATTTGGGCGATAAAAAGGCTAAAAGATCACTCAATAGTTCATACAAAGTAGTATTCGATGAAGCTCAATAGTTTCAGATAAATAAATGTTGCTAATCTACAAGTGACGAAAACTACATTCATTTATTTTGTTTAATAAAATTTTGTCTTCTTTTTCTGATATATTACTTACTCATGAACTTGTTAGGTAGTTGATTTAGTTGTTCAGAGAGCTCTTCGATTCTCCTTTCATGTGTTTGAATGTCAACTTTCTGCTGTTCCAGTTGTGTCGTCAATCTATTGATCATTTCAGCTTGCTGTTGTTTATAAACAACGGAATCTTGTCGAAATTGACGAAGTTGCTCACGTAAACATGTATTTTCAGTATGTGACGAAGCATCACGTCTGAAGTACGTAACATTACATTCCGAACAGTTCATTCCAATCGAGCCACAATTATCCTGATGTTTTGATAACTCTTTTTCCAATACTGTCGAATGACAACCAGAGCACTGTTGAAGTTTGTAACCACATTCTATTTCATGTTTCTCAAGTGCTTCGTATCCAATTATCTAAATGGAACATGAACAAATAATGATTATATTTCTATTTCTTTGCTAAACTCTCACCTCTGGACATCCATTTGGTTGGTTAATACATCCAAATTGCAGTTTGGCCAGTTGTTTTATTACAAATGGAGAACATCTTCGTTCAGCATAATCTCGACACTGTGGACAATTTCCTGGACTTTTGACAAGCCAACTCTTGATACACTCAGAGCAGTATAAGCTATCACAATTATTACAAGCGATAGGTTTCCAGAGAAGATTAGTGCAAATAATGCATTCCAAATCCTCCACATTTACTCCAGAAGTGCCTTGTATACGGTTCAATAAGGAATTTTGTGATTTAGTCTCCATCTAAGAAGTTGATAAACACAAAACGTTAATGCAATCTGTTACAGTAGTAGACGAAAAGGAAAATTACTCAGATATGCTATGAATTCAAAATAAATTAAGTTCGAAATATTCTCTACATATGTATATGGCTCCTAGTATTCGTTATAAAAGAAAAAGACAGCTAAGATACATTTTCACGACTGTAATTATACATCTTCCAAGGATTTTTATAGAAGAGATCTCAGTTTTTCAACAAAGAAAAGATGCTACTTTAACTATACTCTCGGAGAATTAAAGCGGTTGAAATAAAATTATTTCTACTCATACAACAATATATATATATACCAAATGTAAATTCAACAGAGAAACCTTAAAAAGCCAAAGCAAAAAAAAATCAGAGACACATTTTATTTACTTTCTCTAATGGAGAAAATGTCTTTTTTTTTGTTCTATTGTAAATATTTTGCAATAATGCAGAAGAAACAAAGCATCAACATATTTACCTTCTGAAAGTGGCTGCCATAACTATGTTGCGTTCTTCAGTAAATAAAAGTAACTCAAAATCTTGAAGAATAGCTGTGAACCGATGTAAGATTGAAAAACAAATATGCAACGATATTTTGTGAAGGTGTGAGTGAAGGTTTACTTGTTTATCAGTCGGCACACACCAACCCACGCACACACCCTCTCTCAATCCGGTCAATATAAAAAGTTTTTTATTTATAACTATTCTTTATTATAAAGAGCAATAAAAGTAATAAGTAATATTCTTATTGAATTGCATAGGAATACATGCAAATAGTCATTTGTTTATTCCTCGAATATACTCGATTTCAAAATCGAATGTTTGCATACATCTTGAGGGTGGGTGTGGGTTCAGAAAAGATAGATATCCACATTCTAACCCACATTCATACCAACACCCTTGGTGTAGAAAAATACATGTATCTTTAAACAGGTAAATATACACTGAATTACATAAACTATAATGCGTGTTTAATTCAAACTAGTATATCATTAGAATAAATTAAATATATTACTATTTATCTTCTCAAAAATTTCTTATTAAATATATTCTTGAAATGCTAAAGATCGTTGTTCATTATGACATGGACAAATATTTGGATGATTTATACATGCTAATCGTTGTGCTTCTATTGATTTTATATTCAATCTTTCGACTGTAAATCCATACAATTGTTCTAATCGTCGACATCGTAACTCTAATGATATATAATGAAATACATTCTCAACACGATCATTCGAATTTTCTTCCAATTGAAATAAATGTCTATTAATTGAATATGGCCATTGAAATGCATGTAAATACGATAAAGCATTTTCTAACTTATGTTTAATATATTTTTCAAATTTATCAATTCGATAAAGAAAATAAGTTATATTTCTAATATTACTAATATTAATTTTAACACTAAATGAACGCCAATCAATAAATCGTTCAAATGGAAGAACAATATTATCAACTAAAAGAATAGGAATTGCTCCTAATTGAATAGATTCATAGAGACGAGGAGACCATGGTAGAAAACCTTCAGGACAGAGAGAAAATATACTTGATTGAATTGATTTAATATATTCATGAGTTTCTATATGACAATCAATAATTATAATAGTCTCAAATTGTCGTCCTTGAATTTGAGTCGTTAAATTAAACTTTTGTTTTTCTTTTATCTCCTTCCATAAATAAGATAATAACGAACGTGCAGATAAAGGCGATGTTGAATGATATAAAGCACCAGCAAAATAAAATAAACGTTTTTTTTTCTTTATTAATATATCTAAATTATCAAATCGACTTCTATTCCATTTCAATGGTGTATATTGTGGTATAATCACATCATACTGATGTCTATATGTAATCGATATATTTCTATATACATATTGCGGAGGAGCATTGAATGGTAATAGATCATTTCGAATACCAGTAAATGCTAATTGAATAACATTTTTTAATATATTTTGTGTTTCAGTATATAAAATTCCCATATTTCTACCACCTGGAATAGCAATAATATGATTCGCACCTCTATAATCTGCTTGAGACGCTAATGTCCAATATGGAAACATCGTTCGAACATTCGTTAATAAAATTTCGAAATAATATTTATTTAATTTTTCAAGTAATTCTTTAAATTGTAAATCATTTAAAGTTGCTGGTCGATGATTAAAATAGAAAAACATTAAATCACTTGGAATAATAAAATAATCAGCAAGAAGTGGATTCATAGTCCATTGAATAGAATGATGATCCGTTTTTTTTGAATGATTTAAATATTGAAAATAATCTTGAAGATAATATTCAGGTGAATACATTTGATATTCTTTTGATATATTCATCCAATTTATTTCTTGTAAAGAAAAATATGTTAAATTATGAAGTAAGATTTTTTTATCATACATCCAAATTTTTAATGGTCGTTTTAAATAATCATCAATATAAAATTTATGTCGAAGATGATCTATAATATCTATCCAATTGAGAATTTTCTTAAGATTTCGAGATGCCATTGCATGAGTTGTCAATAAATCACCACAAACTTCTTCACAAAATGCATCTCCAAATATTCGAATATCTCTTACATAATCATTATATTCATTGTATCGTTTCTCTGACCATGTATTAGTAATAGATGCTTTGATTTCATAATATGTAAAATCTATATCTGAACACCAACATGTGTTTCGTTTTGATTTAGTAATATTAGATTGTGTTTGATTAGTAAAATGTTCGTAAAATAATTGAGAAGCATACGATTTTGAATGCCATGGATGAAATTTTTTTTGCATATAAGAATTAGTTAATTTTGCGGGAGATAAAATATCTAATTGTATTGTTTCGAAATTTGTTAGAAATATTCCGCCAAGTTCAATAGCTTTATTACGAATATTTCTAATGAATTGTTTATAAGTTTCTTGTTGTTGAAATGGATCATTTTTTAAAAAAGTTAAAAATGTCGGTGGAATTGGATAAAAATAATGATAATTATTTTCAAATGGACAAAGATTTTGTTTTTTACTTTCCATATTGTAACAAAAATCAAAATAGAACCAATTTGCAAATGTCGGATCAAGTTGTAAACGTGTTTGTAAATCATAATCATACATTGAAGGAATAAGCATAGCTTCTGTATGTCCTGGATGAATATATAAAATTTGTGCTTGAATAGGTAAAATCCTACAAAGTAAACCAGCCAATCGTGATCCACGACTAGTTGCATGTATATATAAAAGTGGATAACGTTTAAACTGTGGATAGTAAATTGTATTCATCCATATTTGTAATGATCGATAGATATATTTAGCATCACTATTATTACTAATGGGTAGGTTGATATCATAAGTTTTTCGTTTGGAACATATTACCAAATAAGAATAATTAGAATTATGTAGAGATAATAGAATACGTTTACCAACAGATAAATTCCACATATCATCACATCCACGTTTAGCACCACCGAATATAAGCATAAGACGATGTTTATTAGATGTATTTAGTTCATATCGGAATTCATAATGATAACGTTTATCTGTTGATAAACGGTAATATATAGATTTGATTTGAGTTTTTTCATGATTCGAATGATTATATATACTTGAATTTATTAGGCTTTGTTTAATGTTATAATTAGATGTTGGATGTCGATGAATTGTGTTCAATATACTCATAAATAATAAATTTATAGATAAGAATAATATTAAAAATAAAATATATTTTATTTTTCGTCCTTTTCTCATTACTAAATATGATAGTATAAAATGTTAGTCATGCGTCGTTGCCTTTTTTTTTTATTTTCTTATTATTTTCAATATAATGAAAAGCATGCAAATCAGTGTGGCATAAATGAAAACAAAAAATCAATGGTATTGTACACTTTTATATTTATTTCGATCTCCAGAACTATATATAATCAATTAATTAGTGTATACTATGATGGCATATGTTTTCAATTCTTGATATAAATACAGCATGGCTCAAAAGTCGATTTACTGGAGAAAAAAATTGAATTTCTCTGTTACGGCTCGAGCTAATTTTTTTATCAATGAAAGAGACATGCTTAGACAAAGCCTTTTTTAAGTATATTGTTGTTCTCCTAATCTGTAAATTTTTTTCGTTGAGATCAATAGTAAAAAATAAGAAAAGATTTCTCTAGGTATGTCTTTATGAGTACAAACCTGGAAAATACCTCTCTCATTGCCAAAGCAAAAATTAGCTTGTTTGCTCGAGCCGTAATAGAGGAATTCAATTGTTTTTTTGATAAAACGGCTTTACATAATTACCATTGTTCATTAGAATTACTTCTGCATTAGATCCTATTTTTAGCAACTATTTTAATTATCAATATGTATATTTACATATGAACTCATTGGAATATATTCATTCAAGTAGAAAATTTATTTATAGATTTAATATAGATAAATCCAAAATTTTATCTGTCATCGTTGTCAAATATGAAAAGACTTCTTCCTACGCAAAAGTTATTTATATGTGACAACTGAATTTGAAGTATTATTTTGTTCGTTCTTTCTAAATGGAAAAAGGAAACTAACTTTTATTTTTTTTGTAAATAATTCATTGATTGAATAAATGCTTCTCTCTCCGAAAAGTATATGTCAATAGAATGATTGCGAATCAAGTGTTTCTTTCTTCTATTGATTCTGTTAAAAGCAAAACTACTTCTTTTATTAACCTTTATGCTTTCAAACTACATTGAGTACATAATAAATGTTCAATAAGTCATTGTCTGCATATTTAATTAACAATAGAAAGAAAAATTTTAATCTAATAATCGAAGATTAAACGAGAAAATATGTTTTTCGGAATTATAGTTCTAATGATTGAAAAGTAGATATATATTTTTCCATTAAAATGAAAAATAATTGAAAATAATGTTATATGGTTTTAACATGAATGAAAGCTAATCTCTGATTGATCTTTGAATATTAGATTAGATTGTCAAAGACAAAGAGAAGAAGAAAAATCTTTTTTTCCTGTATTGAAA